CTCTCTTCTTGTTTATTTTCTTTCTCCTCCAACCACTGCTGTTGTCTCTCTTCTTGTTTATTTTCTTTCTCCTCCAATCACTGCTGTAGTCTCTCTTCTTGTTTATTTTCTTTCTCCTCCAACCACTGCTGTTGTCTCTCTTCTTGTTTATTTTCCTTCTCCTCCAACCACTGCTGTAGTCTCTCTTCTTGTTTATTTTCTCGTTCTTCATTTTCAGTTTTTATTGGTCCTTTTACAGTTTTATGCAGATATATATAATCAGTGTTAAATTAAAAAAACGTTACATAACATTACACTTATAACCACAGTTGTTATGTAAAGGTAACCATTAAAAGTGTGTGACATGTTTGATTCACCAGGAATAACTCTTGTGGAATTCTTTACATTATGACTAATTAGGGTTCCCAATTCATTAGTTATATGACTAACAAACATTTTATTATGGAAAATAAACCCATTCTAAAATTGTTGTACCGAGATATTTGTGTTTATCTTTTACACCCTACAATATCTTCAGGTGAGACTGATTTTTACTGCAGTTTCAGTAAGTGAATACGAGGCCTACTTGTCGAGTAGGTTAAGGATTAATAACACATTACATATTTATTTTCAACACCAATTTTTTATTTACATGTCATTAATACAGTCTCGCATTTTCTATCTATGGATGTCCTGAATTACAAGATCCATTGCCGTTTCCTTACCTCTTCCAAAATGATCAATTACTGCATCACATCCAGGGAATGCTCGGAGTCCTGGAAAAGCAATACATCGTCTCTCTGCAGCTTCTGTGTTACTGAACCAAGGAATACTTTGCAGGCAGCTTAACCAAAACCATGCTGTATGTTACCCATGGGGCAATGTTGTCAGACAATGATGTATGACTTACATTAAAAGACGTGTATGAGCTCGCCAGCAGTCAAGAAGAGGCTGATGTAAGAATGTTCTTACATGCAAGCCATGCAGCACAAGAAGGCGATCACATAATATTTATTAACTCTTCTGACGTGGATGTGAAAGTACTAACACGTTACCTAAAACCTCAAGTGCCTGTCACGATATTTATTCAGGCAGACAGAGACGTGTGCTTGCACTCATCTTGTTGACACCCCGGCAGTTTCACAGAAACTAGGGAGAAACGTATATTCTTACTCAGGAGACTCATTTGTATTAGTTAAAGTTAAAAAAAAAATTCTAGGGAGGAAGTGGTCAAACTGAATATTTGAGGTGTCACTTTATGAATTAATTTCAAAGTTAAATCTACATATAATTTGTAACCAGAAATTCGTTTATAAAAATAATCACGGAATTTTGTGACAGAGCATCATTTGACATTTTTAAATATTCTTGATATATATTTTGTAAAATACTTTTCTTTGAAAAATGCAACACCCGTTGATACAGCATGTAGCACTTTCATTTGAGTTTCTATTATGATAAATTCAGGTGACTTGTCAGGCCCGTAACAATTGACTAACTGCCAAATTCGTTTCATTAAGTTGTCCTCAATCTATAATCCAGAGTATTTTTTTATGCACAAACTTTTTTCATTGATCTCGTTTAAAATAATGTTAAATAAGCTATGATGTACTGCTAGGTCACATCTCCACTGAGATAATAATCACATAAAGTTGATTTGTTATCAGCCATCAAACTTGCAAGTTCTTTTGGGTGTGTTTTTAAAACCATGATATAATTGATCGATATACCAAAAACTATAGCTATACGTCTGTGGTTAATATGTAGGACAAACTGAAGTGAGGACTTTGGGATTATTTTTCTTCTTCATGAGAAAAATAATAATATTTGTTTGTTTGTTGTTAAGCGCAGAGCTACACAGTGGGCTATTTGTGCTGTGCCCACCCTGTATCGAAGCCTGATTTTTAGCGTTATAAGTCTTCGAACTTATCTATGAATCACTGGGGGCAAATATTTAATATAGGGATGACAATATATATATATATTTAATCCTCACTTTATTAGACAAATAAAGCTTTCATTTTTTTTCTGTACTATTTTTTTTTATTTATGTCAAAATCTGTTGCCCTTACTTAGCCTGAACTGGGCTAAACTGTATCCATCAAATGTGAGCCGTAAAAGGGGATAACTTTGATGATGTACATTCACGCTATTTCAAAATTATCCTCTTTTAGCCCCTTATTTAGGTTAACATTACATCCTTTAAATTTAAAGTGTAGAACATTTAAATTAATATATTGTTACAGGAGAGAATATACTTTCTTCAATATTAAAACCTTTTTTAAACGCATTCGCACGAAGAAAACAACAACCCCGAAATATTAAAATGATAAAAAGTACAAATTTCAAATGCAGGGTGCTTTTTTATGTAGTATCGTTGTGAATTACTAATATGTACTGTACAACTGTATCAATGGATAGGCATCAGTAAAAGGCTGGCTTGCCCGAAGAACCATGAAACTAATTAGAGAGGAGTTTAAGCTCATAGTTGAAGATGTGGAAGGTCAAGCCAGTAGCTATCAGGATGTGGACAGCTATTTTACTGTTTTTCCAAGTAAATATGTTTTTGACATTACAATACTTATCTATCTATTATTTATACATTTCATTCTTTACGTGCTTAAAGTATACTGTATATCAACTGTCACATAGTTGAAAGCTTTCTCTTAGCGAAGATTCAGTTGAGTAAACCCTCGAAATTCTAAAGTGTCATACTTGAAATTACTCATGACAAGTCGATCAACAAATTAAAAACGCATTTTTTAGCCTATACTTGGCATTATGATAAACTCTAAGACTTTCAGCTATAAAACTTGTAAATTGTTTCTGTATTGTGCTGCCTGATATATAAGGTATATATATATATATGTGTGGTTCTTCAGCCACGCAGGTGGTCTTCCTGTGGGTAGACCATCCCCACTGTCTTACTTGATTTTATCTCCGGTAATCATTGACGGGCTTCCTTACGACTACCCCACCCCACCATCCGTCAAAATCCGATGTCCCCCTACTCCCTAAAGCCACATGTTATACAAAGGCAGACTTTCAAAAATTGATATACTTAATTACGATTATTTTTACAACTGCCCATAACATTTTAATAAATATACTTTGACAGTACTTCTACAAGTCATCAATGTCAAAAACATTATTTAACGTAACATGTTTGAATGAGATTACAACTTACATTTTACTACATATGATTAATTACCATTATAGAATAACAACATTTACCATTCATCTTTGAGGACCACGTTAATGATGTAAGGTGTTCAAAACGCAGTCTAATATGCGTTCTTTCTAATTTTCTTCAATGAAAGCATACAATCACGAAACACATACAAATTTCTGCATGTCGTTAATATTGTACGTTCATAAGACTAACGAATCCGTATGATTTTGAACTGATGTCAAACCTTGATACTGTTTAACTTTACTTCACACGTATATAGAGAGTTATTATAAGAAAAAAACTAGACATGTAAAGCTTTTTTTAACTCAACACACAGTTTACCAAGTCTGACTCATTGAAGATCACTGATGGGCTTGGTTAAGAAAATATACAAGGTGGAAAAAACCTTCTGCTTAGAATGACAAAAGTCAGTTCAGAGTTGACCAAGTCTATGTGGTTTGCGAAGTAAGCACTGATTGTGTTGAAATGTATAAGTGGAGCAGAGTTTGATGAAAAACACCAGTTTAAAGAAATAAAAGTAAAGCGTGACGATCCGAAGTGTTTGATATTCAAGACTACTGGCAGGTTTGGTAGAAAATCCATAGGATTAGAATGACAAATTTTATTTTGCAATAACTGGCTAGCTAGTCCAAGGAGCAAGTGATTAAAGTTTTGATAACAATTCAGTATTCGTAACAAAAAACTTCGGTTACTATTAATAATTTTATAATAATAAAGTCTAATTAATATTCAGTTTAAACAAGTAATCAAAAAATTATATTTTAGAAAATGATACAAAATATTTGGAAACTAAATCAGCCATGTACTTTACTTACAGTTTAAAACTGACCTTGAATATACAAATCAAGTACAAAGTATGTGTCACAGATACTCAAACATTAGGGAATATTTAAATCTTTACTCTCATATGATGGTATAAATAAAACAAATCTATTAGACATATATAGACAGGAACATGCCAAAAACAAGTATTTCGATTGTTTATACAAAATGGACAAACAACCTATAAATTCTATTTCTGTATCTTTCGAGTTGTTTATGATAAAAGATACCTTTTCTTTCACGTTTTATAAATCCAGTATGTTTACAATCCAAATAAGCTGTAACGTCCATTATACCAAAGTTCGATCTAGAACTCGCATGTTTGTCATTTAAGTATAACACACAAAGTAAGATACAAAGTCTTAACTACTTAAAGGTGTAATCATTTAAGAACATAAAAAAATATCGATATCATCCATCTTACAATTTGGACAATTTTCATCTGACAGCATAATATCCTGAATTATGTATGGATTGAATTAGTTTTCATACAAGTTAATGTACACTCTTTGTTTTACTTCTGTTGTTATTTAGTAAAATCAATCGGCTTAGAATAAAATGAAAGTTCTGTTCTACTTAAACATGTGACAATTATGATATATTTACGGAAAAATTTTATTAAAATAAAAGTTAATTTTAACACAGTGTTGCTATCTAATCTATGCATTTACAATATAATTAATATTTACGAAAAATTTTCATTAAAATACAAGTTAATTATAAAACATTGTCACTGTCTTCGTATTTACAACATATTTAAAGTTTACGGGATTATGTTATTAAAATAAAAGTCAGTTATAATGCACTGTCTATGTATTTACATAACATACAGCAAATGGTCAGACTGTATCAGTCAGCTTAGAACAAAAAAGCGATTCTACTTAAATATGTGAGATTTCATTATTATTTTAATTATCTAATGTTTTGAAACTTTGTTGCTATTTATTAGACAAAGATTTCAAATACTGTGTTTTGACGTCATTGACATTGGCCAGTTTTGACAAAGTTATAACAATTTTTAAATCAGGACAAAGGTTTGGTTTGCGTAAATATTTCCATCAAGATTTATTACACTGACAATCAATATCATAACAATTACACACAGAACATACTAACTGTCTAAAATATCCTGGGGAACACAAATCACCATGTTGGCATCCCTCTTTTCAAAAAAACATTTTCACATGCTTATGTTACAAGTCATATCATTATATTTAATTATATTATTACAATCCTAATAATTAATTTTGCTACAACTAAAAATAATAAATGAATGACTTAGAATTATCCATAGATTTTCTATTAAATGTTCACAAAACATTGAAACTAATTCGTAGACCCATATGATCTCGAAATTGTGTCAAAGATGATCATGTGGTTAAACCCATACGCTTATGCTATGAGCGAATGATGATGACCTCATTGTCTCAATACCTCATCATTGGTTAGAAAGAAGAGGCTGCCACTATCTTAGGGGGTCGTCAAATATTATTCTTTAACCAATTAGTTTACTCGTAATCTGAGGGTCGCGGGTTAGAATCCCCGTCACACCAAACATG